CACTCTCTCGACGACTACTGACTGGGACCGACGATAACACGCCGTATTGTTATGGTCTCTCGTCACAGTGCGGTGAAGAGGATGAAGGGGGAGAAGATGGTGGCCGGTTTGACACCGGGTACCAAAGGGCAGAGGTAGCTACTCCATTCAGTCGTAATCTCTAGACTTAGAACAGTCTGTAGACCCTAGTTGGATTATATGCGACACGTTTTTTGGTCACCTCGACCGGCTGGGGTCCTTCTAGTAAAATAAACCTACAAACAGACCCAAAGTGTACTTCTAACCGTCCGTGAGTCCATCGAACCAGCTGGAGAGACCTCCCATCCGCCCACCGTTCTCGTCACGTACAGGTCAAGGTGAAGACCAGTAGTAGGCGTCGACCTTTTCTCAACTTACTTGATACACGCTAGTCATTCTCTCCGGAACTGAGGATGAGATGTNAATCTACTGACGCAAATAGACAAACTATAGTCAAATAAACACTTAAATGTGTATTTTGTACGTTTTCCTTCCAAAAGCCTGAAATAAAACATGTTATAGAATCAAAATAGCACAAAATCTCAAAATTGACCAGTGCTTGAAAAACGATGTTTTTGCCTGCCGTGTCTCGCCTTAAAAGGGAACTCGAGAGATGACTGGAGAGGGAATTTGAAAAAGACCTTGACAGGGGACTCAAGAGGGGACTTGAGAAGGAACTTGACAGGGGACTCGAGAGGAAACTTGAGAGGGAACTTGAGAGGTGACTTGAGTGGAGACTTGAGAGGGCTCTCGAGAGATGACTTGAAAGGGAACTCGAGAGATGACTGGAGAGGGAATTTGAAAAAGACCTTGACAGGGGACTCGAGAGGGAACTTGAAAAGGAACTTGACAGGGGACTCGAAAGGAGACTTGAGACGGTCGGTAAGCCGACAGGGCACAGGAAGTTGGCATCGGCCGAAGAGCTAGTAATGGAGCCGAAACTGGAGTCGGGACCATGGCTACTGGGGCCGGTAGTGAAGCCGGAACCATGGCTGCTGGGGCCGGCACTGGAGCAGTCCGCAGGTGAGGGATCAAACGATTCATCTTTTCAGCTAGCTGTTGCAGCTGTGTAGAGATGTCTTCCTGAATCTCTGCCTGGCGTCTTCTCTGCTCTTGTATTCTCTGGGTGGTCATACCCAGCTGTTCCTCGTGGTGAAACACTTTCACGCCGTGTGCTGACAGAGCGGCGTGAAGTGTTCTTGGGTCGGCTGGGTCCATAATAGTCAGTTCGTTCTGTTACGAGCTCAGACACTTAGGAGGTAGGACCCAATTGCACGACTCGGGAGACAGAGGTAAAGTATTTGTAAGATACTTGATCTTTTCATGAACAGCAAAAATGAACAACAAAAAACGGTCTCTATCACTCTCTAGCTGAGATGACAAAAAATGGAGAACAAAAATGAAAACTCTCACGTAGTGAGGATCAAACTTATCAAGAACTCAAAATAGCATAGACCTGACTTTGGCAAGAGACAAGAGCAAAGCACTGACCATGGCAAAAGCCAATAACGAACTGACACTGAACACTGGGAGACAGGGGAATTTAAACACAGGGTAACAAGACACAGGTGGGAACAATCAGGGGTGGGGCTGAAACTGATTAGCACAGGAGACACAGAAGGGGTGAAAGGTGAAAACAATCAGGAAATTAGACACACCAGGGAAACTAACGACAGACATGAAAACACAGGGGAAAAGACCAGACAATACACAGGGAGGAAAACATGACAAGGAGAAAAGCAAAACACCCACTACCAGACACACAAAACTAAAAGCGTGACACAACACAACAATCATGACATCTATTCAATAATCCTGTTCATCATACATGTACGTTTCTTAAGTAGGAAAATAAAACAAACCTGGTAAAAAAAAAATACGCGACCTGCTTGGTTTGTCCACAGAAAAAAAACTGCAGGTACAGCGAATGTAGCAGTTATTGCTTAATACAAGATCAGTGGGTAAAATGTGTGGATCTACTTCTGAATCAGAGCTTGTGATTAATCCACAAATTAGTAGACCTGACATTAAAACCTCTAAAAGCAATAAGAATCCAGTAAATAAAGGTTTTTAAAAACCAAGCCAAACGTAAGTATCAGCACATTTCACAGAGAGCGGCTAGGTGCAGCGGGGTGTGTAATGTGATTGTCCACAGTTTGCATCCTATTGTGCTCAACAGTGGCACAGGGGATGGATACAAACAGGAGGTCTTTACAAGAAATTGCATTTAAGACAACAAAAAACCTCAAGCGGTCAAACTTGAGAGGCGCTGCATTCAAATGAATTGAACTGAGAACGCAACATCTGTTGTGATAGTTACATCTTTTGTTCTCTGAAAAAGGAAATGTCTACACAACCCTTGGGCAAAGTCGAACATTTTCACAAAGTAATTTAATTGCATGCTTACAGGAGGCTTTTAAAGGTCCCAAACACAACATGGCATGTAGATTATTCACTGCTTCTAATTATTGTACACGGCTAAATAAAAATGGTCTGGAGGACAGATTCAAGGGCTGACGCCATCTGGATTTCACCATTACTGCAGTGGGTGATGGGAACCGTAAACCCCTGTTCAGCTTGAAGATGAGATGTTGGAGGAGGCTGGTGTCCCTAGCAACAGCCTTAGCTCTCTGTTTGTATTTCAGGCACTAAGCCAGCAGAGGTGCAAATGCAGGTGTAATTTCACTATGCTTGTGCGGCGCCAGCTTCGCACTTTTGTGGCTCCGAAGGAACCCGGATGTGCATGAGGTACGAACGATGAGCGAAGCAGATGGGCATGATTATTCACGTAAATTAGCACGGTGTCATTTTGGCATCAAATGGTGTAAAAATTCAACCAGTTTTCACCTGCTTTATTTAGTGGAGGCACACGCATTGGACGTTTTTCATCTGGTATACATTTAAAATACATTTTAATAATTGATTAATGCCAAATTAGCACAACGTCTTGTTATCTACAATGGTGTGGGGAGGTCCTTCTGTTTGAGTTCAGTAGACATTCAGCAGCAGCAGCAAAAGGGGGAAGACAGAAGGGGATTTGATTGGTCTTTATTGAAGCAGACCCCGATGGTACCTGCTGACGTACTTCTCTGACAAATGATATATATTCATCCCGCTCCAGACACTTCTCAGGGCTGCTCCAAGATTGCACTTGTACATTGCCAGGCCCATGTGCGATTGGCATGAAGGGTAATGAACAAAAGCTCAAAGATTCATCCAGCAGGCAGACATGTGCAGCACGGTCTTCAGCAGCAGTGAGATTGCATTTCTACAAAGTTGTTAAGAGTCATAAAAGGAAAAAAAAGAAAAACGTTGTGCCGTCAAATCTCTTTTTGTGTCAGCACCAACTCAGTAATTCAGAGTTTTTGAATACTGATTATTGCATTAATAATTCATTACTTCATATGATCTATACACCCTATCACTGCCATTTTATTTTATTTATGGAACAAAACACCTTCCCTGCTCCTTTGCCTCCATCAAACTGCTTTTTTTAACGACTTGGGTTACGAAAAGCAGCGATCCGTTCTGAGCTTGAACAAACCTCGGGACGCTTTCGTACTTTTAGCCGCCCCCGAGGGATTTGGAATGGGTCCCTGTGTGCACATTTGCTGTTGACTGAATTGTCTAGTTTCTCGCAGTGATCTGGGACATTTTGGTAGTGAGTATTTTGAACCTTTTTTTTAGCGTTTCTGGGACAACGAATCTTGGGTTTTAATCCACCCCTCTCCTTCTGAAATATTGTTATTGTTTGTCCTGAGTCACACTTTGTAGACTATTTACTTTATAAATAAAGCTTTAAAGGCTGTTTTTCTTGCCAAAAATACATCTGTCTAGTTCATTCTTTCGGAGGTTATCAACATTTTCATTTACTGTATAACTGCCACATGACAAAGGCAAATGATAAAGGCAGCAGTTCTCTAATTAAAGTCATTACGAGGCTCTCTGGGTGTTCAGCAGTCTACTCTGGGCAAATATCACTCCTCCTTCCCATAAGTGCTTCCGTTTGCTCTGGTCTCATATTTAAGTGTTTGCTCTTGCTCTAGATTTCCAAATACTAGTGATGCTGTTTGGGGTCACAGAGGGGTAAAGCCTAACCCAGCATGGGTGGATTTTTTCGCTGTATCTCAATATTTTCTCCTGAGACATCATCTCCTTGCATTATTAAATCTTTCGAAAAGTTTAAAAGGACATGAATAATCCATCCATCTCTTCCCTATACCATACCATCCTCTTTTTTTCTGGGGATCTGCCAGCATACACAGTGCAAATGGCAGAGAAAGTCCCTTTACTATGTTTTCAAGCTATAACTAGTAACGGCAGAGTCATACTCACGGTTAACCTGACCCGATTTTTCTTCGGACTGCAATATTAACAGAGTGGAGGAAGGGCCTTAAAATGGAGGGTCAAAATAGCTGACTAAATAAGTAATTCTAACCTGTAAAACACTTCACTGTCCGTTCAGACCGCCGGTGACCGTAAGGGACAAACCAACGTCCAACAATTGTTGCTGCAGGACGTGCTACAACTCAAAGTTTAGCTGACCTCATCTTTTTACAGCGCTCTGATTACTTTGAGAAGCGTCAAACTATCCTTTTTTTTTGTTACGTCGTACATTTAAAAAAAAAAAAAAGTTCAAACGTGCAGCCATGCATTTAGAATTAACATTTATCACGTGGTGATGAATCCGTTTACTCAACAGTACTGACTCTTGAGCTGCACATCTGTCCGTTTGTGCTTAAATTGTGATTGTGATTACAAATAAATGTTTTGGCAACACACATTTTGACACCCATATCATTTTTTTGATTTTAGTAAATGTTAAAAATCTCAAAATACATCTAGTACTAGTACCAGTTTAGGATCACAGAGTACACATACAAACCAAAACAGCAAGAAATAAAGTATTGAATTGATTAGCCTCAATCCACAAATGCTGATGGGTACCATAAGAAAATAAACAGCGACTCCAGCATTCTTACCTCAGCCCGTAGAGGACAGTGCCATCTGGATGCAGTCGGATCATACGGTTCTTCACTGTCACCCCATGAAGAAAGGACTTCTTGTCGTTAAGGAAGTAGGTGTCAGGGAGCCACAGCTGGTCTGCTACACGGTTGTCCAGAGTCAGGTTCAGCTTCATCTCAGTGTAGGCCAGACGCTTATCCCGCCAGCTCTGCTGGAAATACATTGTGATGGTGTAGTCCTGGGGAGAAGGAAAACAAAATCACAATAACCGTTCAGATGAACACAAGGCCATACGCTAATGAAATAATTGGGCCAAAAGTGCTTTTCTTTGTATCTTATTGTTTGCTTCCAGTGCATGGTTTGAGTGAACCCTTTATAGTGGGCATGGTTTAACAAACTGGTAATGACGCATGAACGTAGAAGTTATTACTTCAGCCTTAAAATCACAATTACCAGATGATACACTAAGTCAATGTGCAGAGTTTAAGCTGACATGAAGATGTCGATTCAGTGGTTCACCACAATGTAATTAAATGAAGGACAAAGAGAGGAATAAGCACTTGCGATAAGGCCACCACAGCAATAAAAGCAGAAAGCATCTGCTACAAGGGCACTTCAAAACTGTTGTTATGCTCTCAGAACATGAACATTGTTTTTATCTTTTTACGCAATCAGAAAAACGAACTGCTCTGGATTTGTAAAATAGAACATGGGCATCAAACAAATAAATACTGATGTGCTGGTACTCCTGTTTTACACTGTTTCTAACTGACAAAGGGCCTTTCTTATTTCTCTAATTTCCCCTCCTCGACTCCTCGAATCCTCGGTCCTCCGGGAGTGACCCGGAAATGGTTTTTGGCGCGCCATGTTGAAGGACATCTAATTTCTCTAAATGCACTTCGAGGACCGAGGATCGAGCGTCGAGGAGGCTCTCTGGAGGAGCTATAATCGAGGATACACTGACACTGGTCCTCCACGGCTCCTCCGCGGATGCATTTCCGGCAACAGTGATGTTTAAAAGAGTCGTGTGACGCACTGGATATTGTTTTATTAACTGCTTTCATCGCTACGCGATGTTTACAGAGAGAACAGCTGTGAGGTCCGTGCAGAAAGCAGAGCAGTGTGTAAAATATATATCACTCAGTATAACAGGCCTACTCTCTTTATTTGCTTTAGTTTAGTAGATGTCTACAAACAAAGAGTCAATATTTGTCTAAAACCATTTAGTGCTTTACATAATAAAATACACAATGGCTGTAGCCTGATATTATATGCTTTAGGAGCTGTTGGTGCGTGTTGTACAGTGTGTAGGTGCGTGTGGTACAGTGTGTGTGTGTGTGTGTGTGTGTGTGTGTGTGTGTGTGTGTGTGTGTGTGTGTGTGTGTGTGTATGTGTGTGTGTGTGTGTGTTGTACAATGCGTAGATGCGGCAGACAGACTTGTCTCAGTTGGTTTGGTGTCCTATGCTTACTTTTAATACTTGTAAATAAAACTTTTGGCCCGTAATTTATTTTCCTCATTGTAGCGACCAGAGAGGGAGGGGGGGATATATCCAGTCTCTGATAGTGTTACGTTATTATGCTGTGTGTGCTCTCATACTTGTTTGATTCTGAAATTGTATATATTTATTTAAATATATATACCTATAAATATATATGTGTGTGTATATGTCCGCATCTGTAGCCTGTTATTGTCTCATTATACCGCACTGTGAATGAATTAAAAGTAAATATATAAGTCGTCATGAACATAGTTCTGTCCATCAGACAGAGTGCTGCTGTGCCTCCTGTCATCATTAATGGACGTCTCTTTAAAATGACCACTCAGAGGAGAGGAGTTCTCATTTCTCTAACCGCCTGCTGCTTCCCCTCCTCTCTCCTCGGTTCCCCTCCTTGACTCCTCCGCTCGCGTCTCCCGTGGGCGGGACTAAGACACAAGGATAGGAGTCGAGGAGGGGAAATTAGTGAAATGAGAAAGGCCCATGGGCTTCATTTTCAACCTGCACAGTCCAATGGTTTGAAATATTGTGTGCCATTTATCTCCAATCATTTTTTAAATTGCATGTTCGCCTAGCTTCATGTGTTTGAGCATAATGCATGATGGGACCGTCAGGATCCCTTACATCCTGCTTTGTAATTAATGAAGCAAAGTATTTCGTATTGAGAAGTATCCATCACGATGAAGTGAATGAACACACAGGTCTTAATACGCACTCAACCATACAACTGATAAACTACTCAATCAGCCCCCTTGCTCATAAATGTTATTAAAATCAGCCGTTTTTAAATGCATATTTGATGAAAGGAGCTCTAATCTAAAACTTTATTTTACATCGTTTTTAAAAGAGCATCATTACAAACATTAATATTTTGTCTTCTTTTTTACCATTAGAGCAATTTTTAAAAGCCTCACCCTCATTAAAATGAATTAAGAATCAAATATACATACAACTTATCAAGTGTTACCGCTTAAGACTCATGATTCAGAGTCATACAAGAACAAAGACATCTCAAGCCGATCACAAACACATTAAGAACAAAGACTGCTATGGATTTTCAACTTTTAATCGCAAAAGGAGAACTCTTAACGTATGAAAAATATATATGTTTATTAACTTGGGCTTGATCACCATATAGGTGAAGTCACGCTGAGTGAAATAAGGAGAGTGCCAAGAGACAAAATGACGTCATCAATGAGCAATTTTTCAGTAGTTCAGTACATTGGAATATTTATTTTCCTTTAGTGGAAATATGTCTAAAGTCCTTCCTATCTCCACAGATACTCTGTAGCATCCTCAGCCTGGTTGAATCCTTCAGACCAATAACCAGATTGTTTTCTGGGTGGGAAGCCAGTGCGGGATCGTACGACGAAAGTGTTTGTATCTCACCATGTTTACTTCTGAGATGGAGTCGATGCTCGCAATGTTGATGCTCATTCCTACGATGACTGGAGGACCTGAGGAAACAAAGGAAAAAGTCGAGTCACTAACATGCAAACACTGGAATTTGAATGCACTTTCATTTGTGCCAAGCAGCATAAAGAGATAGAGTGGAGAGCAATCACCTTTACTTTTTCATAACCTTAGGTGCATACACGGTACGATAGAATTGTGTATACAAACCAAACAATTTCACCCACACAAGTTTTAGATATTCCTAGTTAAAAGACCAACATCATATATATTTGCATTATGCATTATTTGCACATGTTGAACAACATTGATGAAACATTTATGTTCTTGCTGTCCAGAGGGTGTATGTGTAACAGAGAGTAAATACCAGCTACTCTCCTGTTATGCTTGAGAAACAACACAAGGAAAATGCATTCATCCAAGATAATTTCTAAACTCGAAAGGAATGGGAAAAGCAGACTGTGCATCATCGACGTGATTAAAGTACATGCTGTAGACATGTAAACAGCTATGCATATGAACTCCCCTCCATGTGCAGATAACACTAAGCTCACTTTCATATTCACACAACTTATCCATTATCTATTCACAGACACTGCAACCAAGGGAAGAGGAATTCAGACACACTGTGTTATGTATGACACACAGATAAGCATATGTACAGCATATAACAGTATTCATCTAAGGGTCATTGTTCATATGTCATTAAGACTGTAAAGATAATTGCATTCTCTACTTATCTTACTTTATAACGACATGACCGATAGTGTTTACATAATCGGCTTATCGCACAATATATGGATATGACCTCGATAATTTTTACGTTATCAGCTTACGATATATCGGCATTACCTAAATGACTTATACTTTAATCAACTTATCCTACTATATATGGACAAGGTAATAGTGTTACTATTTATCGGCTTACAGAACCGTTTATGGACAGGACATTGATTATTTTTATGTTATCACCTTAACGTACGATATATGGATACATCGTTGATAGTTCTATCATTTATCAGCTTATTGGTATATTCAGTATATAGAAATGATCTCGATAATTGTTCCTTTATTGACTTATCGTAACTGACAAGACCTTAACAGTGTTTAGATTAATCGGCTCATTGTCAGCATAAAGACATGACCTCAATATTTGTTTTCTGTTATCAGCTTATCGTGCAATAAATGGAAATACTTTGATAATAGTGTACTTTATTTGACTTACATATGATGACTTGATTTTGATTGTGTTTACATTAATAAGCTAATTGTACGATATATGGAACTAACCTTGATCATTTGTACGTGTAACGACGACTTATCGTATTATATGTGAACATGACTCTGACATTTTTTGCTCACCTCGATATTTCCCTTTGTGTTAACATATGTGTTTGTCTACATAAGAATACCACCATGATTGTATCCAACATGATGCCGGTAAACAGCAGAGTTTTCCTGCCACAATGACTTGGCCTGACAGTACAACCACACCTAGTTAAGACAGACAGTAATGCAGAATAAGCTAGACACAAAAGTGCAGAGAGGGCTGGAGCCCATTTGAAGTTTGATATTCCTTTTATCTGTTTTATACTTAATACATTTCTAGCAAGCAGAGAAGTAAAGCAAACTAGCGCCCAGCATTTGAGAAGCCGTTACCCCAGGCAGTGGGTTTTGTGAGGGAACATATTTGTTGACACTGATTCTCAGTGTTTTATCATTTCAAATGATTTCTCCTTCTAAGCATTTTTAGTCCTTATGTTATCCTTATCACCTAAACACGCTCCCCCCGTCCCCTCGTCCCTTCCTTTCCAAATCGTGTCAGCCCTACATCGCTTCAGTGAGAATGATCGGGCCACAAAATATGAAGTGCTGACACAGTGAACAGAAACAGCTGAAACATCTCAGTGATTGGTTTATGAGGCAGTGCTGAATCAGTAAATTCAGTTTAATGTCTCATTGTATTATAGTGGAAATGGCATTAGCATAAGGGTCATAAACAACAGAAAACAGCTGTACTACAATATGTACGTTTTGCCTGTATCATCATAATCGAAAGGTACTTTTACTCAAACAGGGTTTTAACAGTACTGTTTGTATGTTTTATTTTCCGTCCTTATGGAGCGCTTCTCTCCCTGCCACTCTGTTTGTGAAGGTCCTCTCCTGTGACTCACTGCACAATCGTAGAAGACATTTAGAAAAATATGCTAATGAGAAGAACTGAACAGTTAAGAAGCAAAATGAAGTAAGGTGTCCTTGAAAATCCGTTGAGATCACTTGTTTTCACATTTTCTCTCTCCTTTAATACTTTGCAAGGTCTCGTTCCCCCTACACAGTCGTATCTGCAAAATGTGACAGCCATGAGCTAACAACATCTGAAGCGTCAGGTAGGTCTCAGAGGACGGGGTGATTCATCTATACGCTCAGCTGATGGATCTAGTGCACGGGTTCATAATATAGACTTAGTTTAAAATAAATAAAAGAGTGCATGATCTCTGTTTGACCAGAACAGATCTATAACGCCCCCTGCCTTCTAATCCTCTCAAAACTCTTGACAGTTACTGAAGACAGCATATGTCATGATGATGTGTATGGGTTGCAGACTTGTTCAGATCAGATCCCATAAATATCTTTGACAATGTTTAACAATTGCTATCATAACCCTAATCTGCATGAAAGTGCATGAAAAGGCCATATGACACAACTATACTTTCTATTATTGGATATGGCTTAAATACATTCCAATCAAAGCTGTCACTGTGCGCTTCACTCTCACTAACTATAGTTCTTTCTCATTGTCATAAAAGCATCAACCCTCACATTGTGTGTATTGCTTCAATCACTAATAGCATGGATCTAAATGTATACTTTCTTATATGAAACGAGAAAGGAATGAACACATTTGACCAAACACAAAACAAAACAGACCAACAATTGAACACTCTAGTGAATTTGTAAAACCTCATCAAATATGTTTTAATGACACAGCAGTTTGCTTGGATGAAACAAAATACATGTTTCTTTGTTTTTCATCTCGGTTGATCACTAAGTGCATTGTAAAACAAGACTTACATGAAAAGTATAATGGGGTCCAAACACCCCATGCAAGGCTAAACCAAATGCTCAACCAAATGCTCAGTGGCCCAAAGCGAACAAGAAGCCATCACTGAATAAAGTCTTAAACAGGTGGTTTAACACATGTTTCTAAGCATGCCTGTGCAGGTTACACCCCCCCCCCCTGCAGTGCACACTGCCAGGATGTGATCATACTTTGGACCACAGGAACTGTTGCGTTATTCCAAATCAATTATTCACAAGTTATGACGTGGAAACAGGCAACTACTGTAGTTAAAACATCCAGGTCTCTTTCTGTTCTCTAAAGAGCTTAGTAACTAACACCAACACAGACTGAGTTTTGTTTTTAAATGTTCCTTTAGTAATTCCACCGTCGGCCATTTCCACAACGTTGGTTACTAAGTTAAGAACCGATATTGGTACATCCTGGTAACTGGGAAAAGCTAACAGGAAAAACTAAAGTGCCATCCTCTTCCTGTTTTGGTTGTTTAATTGTTGACGCACTTCCTTTTTGCCATTAATTCATTCTCTGAGGAGGTGGGATACCATAGGGACCATCAAACTGTAGATAGTGTTTTTATTATATAGCCATTACATTATGACCGAAAGAACGAGATCGCGGGTACAAGCGGCCGAGATGGGTTTTCTCCGCAGGGTGGCTGGTGTCTCCCTTAGGGATAAGGTGAGAAGTTCGGTCATCCGGGAGGGACTCGGAGTTGAACCGCTCCTCCTTCGCGTCGAAAGGAGCCAGTTGAGGTGGTTCGGGCACCTAGTTAGGATGCCACCTGGGCGCCTCCCTAGGGAGGTGTTCCAGGCACGTCCAGCTGGGAAGAGACCAAGGGGTAGACCTAGAACCAGATGGAGGGATTATATCTCTTCGCTGGCCTGGGAGCGCCTTGGGATCCCCCAGCTGACTGGGGGATCCCAAGGCGCTCCCAGGCCAGCGAAGAGATATAATCCCTCCATCTGGTTCTAGGTCTACCCCTTGGTCTCTTCCCAGCTGGACGTGCCTGGNTCCAAATATTATGACCTCTGCTCTACTTTTTTGTCATTTGAAATTCTTTAAAAAATATATATTATAAAGTGCCAACCTCCAGGCTCTGATGTCCTGCAGGACAGCAGTGCCAGTCAGACACGGCGTGCTGAACTTTTTTATATTGTTGGTGTAGGTTTGGCGTCATTCCTATATTCTCTTCACGCCGGCCTGTAACTTAATTGATTTTGGGAAAAAAAATTCCTTTTCTTTTTTCGTGGGGTGCTTCTCTTCGCTGGGGGCATGTAGATTTGCGGGGCGAGTCATCTGCATAAAAAGATGGAAGACGCCAGTATTTATGATAAACGATTAGCGCCGAGGGGGGTTCTCTTGCTATGCTCAAGAAGTAATTCATGTTTTTTTCAATTTCATTCTTGGACGGTATGCCTCTGTAACGCCTGTTTCTAGTAAGGTTAAAGGTAATAAATTGTGCCACACGAACTGAAAGCTCTTGGCCCGTACGCCCCGTTAGAGGAACACAACCCAAAACATTTAAAAAACTCCCAATGGAGAAGAGGAACGCAAGAGGAGCGGAAGTAAAATCATCAAGACATAGGTGGAAACATGAGACTACCTTAAAAACTATAATTTCAGACAGATTACGACTACTGGAGAGGGACCCCCAAACGGGGGCCACAACGCGGGACACCCTTGGGCACCCTTTGGACAATAAATCTTTCCCCGCTGTTTTAATCAAAAACAAGGATTCTGAGTAGCTCCTTCTTGAAGACGGGGCTTCTTTCCCCTGGGCAAAAACCTGCGGTGTAAACCGGAGTCTAGAGTCTTGTTCTGACCAACTGATCCACACTCTTAAAATGCTGCAGTTCGGCTGATGCCAATGCAGCAAACCTTATACTGTTTGATGGAAAACTTATCGGTGACAGTCTCAACGCAGCTGTAAGGTCTAAAGGTATAAGAAGAGCACTAGTTCTCAGA